TCTCTCTCTCTCTCTCTCACTCACACACACACACACACACACACACACACACACACGCACGCACACACACTCACACAAGAAAAACCGTGTGCACGCGCGTGAGTGCGAATACCTATGTATTTTGTGTCTGTTAGTTGTAAGAACGGTTACCGTCCACAGCTGTGCTCTTACCCTGCATTGTCATGAACATGAAAGAAAGAAGCACTATGCCAACAGTACGGTTGGTAGACATGAAAAGAGTAACATGTATACCTCAGTCACCTATCAGTTATACCTCAGTCAATTTGGGTGACACCAACAATGAAAAGTCAACAATACCCGTGATCAAGTCATTTTCCAAGTGAAAATTTGACCTCATGGTTTAAATGTCCTAGCAAACGGTTTTTTTATTAATCCAGAGGGACGGATTGAGACCGTCTTCTGGGTCTTCCGGAAGACGGTCATAATTTCAAGTTTACATTTACGGGAATCTAATTTTTTTCTGTCGGCAGACGGTCAAAAATGGATAATAGATCAACAAAGATAATTTGGAAGACTGTCAGAAAATATCTCTTGATCCGCCCCTGATCCGAGTGAGAAGCGTTCCTAAAAATAGACCATTAGACCTTACTCAAATTAAACATTTAAGTCCGTTTTGATGGCAGGCCAAAACCATACTTAAAATTGGTAACAAGCATCATATTTCACATAACATTTTACCTGTTGCTGCGTATAAAAGATAAGTTAATTCTCCCATAGACGAAAGGAACTTAAATGACACAAAAGCACCAAAACAAGCACTACAAAGTCGATACTAAAAATTAAACATTAAGAAGACTAAAATATACTCCTTTTTCGAGTGTTTGCGACGCTGGAAAGCGGATATTTGTTTAGTGTTGTAGAGTGGATAACAACTAATACTTATATCGCCTATCTTTGTAATATCAAGTTTTATATCAGCCTATTCAAAGTCGAAATTTGATGTTATTTTTCGACAGTAGAATTTCTAACAAATTCAGCTTGGCGACAAATAGATGCCTGGAGAGGGCATGTTAAACCCTGCTCAGCAGCCATGTCATAGCTCTCGTTGACAATTTCCAACACAAAAGACATTCCCAAGCTCACTACTGCTGCTGGACGTTTTTGACTGATACTCTGACAAAATAAGTGGCAAATTGTCCGATATGCTTATGTAACTTGTGGAGTCTGTAGACATACGTCCCACATAGATATTGCCACGGTGGCATAGTTCACTAAATATGTAATCGTCTTTTTTCCATGTTTATCACACGAAAAGAATTTATAAATGCACATTTATAAAGAATGCGAGCTTTTGTTGTGCAATATTTCTCTTTGCATGCATTTGCAAACTTGAATTTTCCAAACCAAGAACATCGTACAGCTTTTAGCTTAAATCACCGCTAAAATGGAAATATATCTGATTATACATGGATCTCTCTCTCTCTCTCTCTCTCTCTCAATAAATACATAAAAAAGTCATCTTTATCTTTTGTATACCATCATCCTTGTCCAAATATGGGTAAAAAGAAAATATTGCAAACTTTCTTCTACCCCATTTTCAAAGTAGTCTGAGCAAGATATACTCCGTACAGTCGGATCTGTACTTAGTTTATACACGTAAACTCGCATTTGACCCATAAGTTTATCATATAGACATGTATATAGCACAAATATCTTAATATCTAATACAAAATGCTATAAACATTATATGTGGTATATATAGTACATGTAAAAAGGGAGAAGGTCATAAAATTATAAAGATACCATACCACTGAGAACTCTGGCTGGCCATATTTCAGGGGCGTTCCTGATCCCCTACCTGGTGGGGGTGGTAACAGGGGCGGTGCCTTTGTTCTACCTGGAGGTGGCCGTCGGGCAGTTTATGACAGAGAGCGGTCTGAGAGCCTGGAAGATCTGCCCCCTCTTCATGGGTAAGCTGAGCTGAAACCGTGTACAGGACCCTGTGTCACTAAATATAGTGGAACATATCATTTCTACTGATGATTAAAGCGACGACCTATAGATATCAAGTATAGAGTTATTTCTTAGAAAAAATGTCTGTATATCATATCCCAGTATACTTTTTGAAATATTTTCCATAACTTATTATTGATAGCATTGTTATGGCGTTTTCTGTAAAATATCAGCTGGTTAGTTACCATACGCATTCTGATTATCTATGATTCGTTTCTGGACAGATATTTCTCAAGACTCTATAATCCTCAAAACGCATATACTTTACCCACAACCCATAGGCCTACAATTTCAAATTCAATGAGACTAATTTAAATGTTTAAATCCAGGAATTGGCTGGGCCACTACTGTGATCGTGTTCTTCCTGGACTGTTATTATAACGTCATTCTGGCCTGGGCCTTCTACTACCTGTTTGCTTCTTTCACGTCCGAGCTTCCTTGGGTCACGTGTGGGAACTGGTGGAATACGGACAAGTCAGTAAGATTTAGCATAATATAAAATGATATTTCACATTGCATATATATTGAGATATAGCATGATATACAATTATATTTGACAGTTGGCTGAAAGCTTTGACGTTCACTGAACAACATTATTATACTGCGAGAAGTCTGAATTGGATTTTTTAAAAAATGGATGCATTGTATTGTATCTGGTCTATTGGAACTACGAAAGTAATTTGATGGTTTTAAAAGAACGGAACTATTATTCAACCAGTCCGTTTACACTGCAAATGAATAGAAAGATAATAGTATCGATATTTTCCTTGGCAGTTCAGAGATGTTTTCTGCGTTGATATTTCAGTGTGAATGTAAAATCTATCTACAATACGTTTTCTAGATCTTTGATTTAATATATCTGAGGAAAAACCTGAACCTAACATCGACAACACTAGATGAAATGATAAGTAATTAATTCATATGATACCGATTCCCAGCAACGTAACTTAAACACTGACCACTTAAACAACGTAAAACATTCACTTGAAGTCTACCCTACTCTTTCCAGGTGCTCCGCCACCTTCAGCTTTAGTCCAAAAGGGAACGGGACGACAGCTAATGTCACAGAGATGATTGCCATGACAACCCAGGCCCCAGTTAATATGTCACTAGGCAACATGACCAACGTGACCAAAGACCTGTCCATAGATTCCGTCACGGAATACTGGGAGTAAGCACTGGCAGGTTTTTTGAACAAACACCACATTTTAAGTCTTGTGTTTATTGGTGTCCTGTTTATATCAATAGACTGACTAACCAGTGAATAGTTTTGCATTTGAAACTCCGCCCGCTTCTTATGGAATTCTTCACTGGATTCAGTAATATGTACCAATCGAATTCTGAAACTTACGTTTAACATCGATTGATACCTATTGATACATATACCTGATTCTAGCTCAACTGGATAAACACATTCAGCCATCTTTAATGGAACCATACTGACATTTTGTCTCTTCATTCAGACACCGTGTGCTTGGCATCTCCAGTGGTATTGACGACATGGGTACCATCAAGTGGGATTTGGCGCTGTGTCTGCTGTTGGCCTGGATAGTGGTCTATGTCTGTATCTGTAAGGGAATTCGTACATCAGGAAAGGTACGGTGACAGTGAAGGCAATAAATAAATAAATAAATAAACGGACCAACTGCTCAGTTGTTTGGTACGACAATAAAGCCAAGTTTAGGTCCGTTATAGGAATTAAATAAGCCACGTTTAGAACATAAAATAAAAAGCTAAATTTTTACATTACGTTTGCAATGACAAGGTGTAAACAGCTAATATGTAAAATCCAATCATTTGTTTACTTGTAGGTTATGTACGTCACAGCCACGTCACCGTACATCTTCATGACGATCTTGCTGGTCCGTGGGTGTACCTTGCCTGGGGCAGTGGATGGCATCATTTACTATCTCAAGCCAGACTTCGCTAAACTTGCCAACATACAGGTAATACAATACTGTATATAGAATAGGCTGACCAAGGGGGTGGCAGAGATTTTATCCCTTTTTGAAGAAAAGGAGACCCTGTCCCTCTCCCAAACAGGGGATAAAAACTACAGTGTGTTCACACGAGTTGGTAAAAAAAAGATGATAAAAAAGGATATAAAAGGTCACTGTAAGATGAAATTCTTGTGATGTGTGTTTAAGTATTGGCTAACAAAAGCATTACTCACTCAGTAAAAGTACCACTGATTGGAGCAATGTCTCTTTCAGGTATGGGTGGATGCGGGAACCCAGATATTCTTCTCCTATTCTATCGCCCTGGGTGTCCTGACAGCACTGGGCAGTTACAACGACTTCAACAGAAACTCTTACAGGTAATCGTTCTTCCTTTTTTTGTGCAATCAGCAGCATAGCAAACGGCTCCTTCTTTTCTGTTATTTTGTAAACCCTAGACCAGTGAATCCTTTAAAGTTTAAGAAAGTGTACATGCACCAAAATACCGCAATGATAAGATAAAAATAAATAATTAAATAAATAAATCATATAAATGTATCATAATAAATGTATTCAGAATAATCCCGCTTTTTTATTTATTTCATTGTGAGAAAATAAACAAATAATAATTCAGTAGATGGCGTATAGGCCCAATGAACCTGGTATGAATGTATGTATAAGCTATTATAATAAATAAACTTTTACTAACTGATATTTCCTACTAGGGACTGTATCATCTTTGCCTCAGTGAACAGTGGAACCAGTATCTTTGCCGGCTTTGTCATCTTCAGTACCTTGGGCTATATGTCGTACAAACAGGGCATACCCGTGAGCGAGGTGGCCGAGTCAGGTAGACAATATTTCAGCTGTGATTTTAGAATATTGATCACTGCTTGGAAGTTACAAAAGCCTTTGACTTTCAAACTTTTATGAGCCAATGTTAACACCTTAGCGTAAACAAGCATGTTTAAGTGTTAATCTCAAGTTCGGGACGTTGTTTTTATCCACCCTATATATGCCATTACCCTCTGTGTTATTTTCCAAGTTGGTCAGTATGGATGACGTTGTCTTCCAGGTCCGGGTTTGGCCTTCATTGCCTACCCCACAGCACTGGCTGAAATGCCGGTGGCTCCCTTGTGGTCAGTGTTCTTCTTTATCATGGTCATCCTGCTGGGACTGGACAGTCAGGTGGGTATAGGACATGAGGAGCTGGACTGTATACGGTCACGTCAATTGTTAAAATATAAAACCTGATAAGTTCGTTGTTGACCATTTTCTCGGGACGTTATATACAAATTTAAAACACCAAACGTTTTTTACAATATGCATTTGATCTATGGCTAAATGAATGATTGTAAAAAATCGCATGACCTCCATATATCTGAAACATACAGAAACGAAACACGGAAACTTGCTCTCTCAAAGGGGGGATTATATTATTAGAAATACTATGTGAGGTTTAGTGTGTCATAATACATGATTAAGTTAATAAAAAACACTTCACTTGTTATATAAAGATCGCATGTGGCCAATACCTAAATGAGACATTCATTCATCTCACATCGAGTTTTCAGGGTTTACTGGAAACCAGCTCCTACTGTCTCAGCGGTTTCCAGTAGCAGAATTGTCAAATAATTTCTGGCAATTTTTGATAAACTCTGAAATTCAGGTTGATTTATATTGGCTGACTAAATTTTACGCGCGTTTTACCTTACAGTTTGTGGGCGTGGAAGGCTTGATAGCGGCGTTTGTGGACGAGTTTGCCAGCACTCTACGCCGTGGCTACAGGAGAGAGATCTTCATTGGCATCATGTGCTTCATAATGTTCCTGGTCGGCTTAAGCATGGTGACAAATGTAAATATATTATGATAGACATTTTTTGTAAAAATCTCAATTCTCCAAGCCGTCTTGGCTGTATCAGCCACCTTCTATACTTAACTGAACTTTCCCTTTTTCAGAGTGTTAAACATTTTAGACAATAATCATCATATTTTATCGGAAGATAGCTTTTTTTCTATTTTTAAAGTTCGTGATTAGTTTAGTAAGGAAACAAACTGCATTTATCTTTTTGATCTATAAGAACTCAGGATCAGTCCCACTTACTTACCTCAGTCATCTGTCTTTCATTCTGGAAACCGTTAAGATATCAGTATGTGAAAAACTAACAAAACCATTTACGTTCTAGCCCGACTGGTTTTTCTTTATGGTTACTACCTTTTTATCGGTCTTTCCAGGAAAATAAGATTTTAAAATCAGTAACTTTTCATTTCAGGGAGGAATGTATGTATTCCAGCTGTTTGACTATTACACCGGGAGCAGAATTATTTTGTTTGTGGCGTTCTTTGAGTGTATCGCGGTAGCCTATCTTTACGGTAACGGTCACTTGTTCTGTTTCTCTATTTATTTATATTTATTCTAATGCACCAGTTTGTAAAGACGAAAAGTATATACATAATTAGATGAGTGTAAACAACAATGAAAATGTATCAGTATGATATGTACAACATGAAGCTCATTTACAATTCCAAAGCGAAATCCCCATTCACGTCACCAACGTCCACAGGTGGTGGGCCGAGACGTGTAACTGATGTTATTTAGTCTCTAAACAAAGAAGAAAACTATTTTATGCATGATATTGCTCACTTTCATTAATTTCAAGCATCTCTCTTTAGGGATAAACCGCTTCTACGACAATCTTCAGATGATGCTAGGGTTCCGGCCCAATCCGTACATGAAGTGGTGTTGGTTGGTAGTATCGCCTATATTTTGCATTGTAAGTTGACTATTGATCAGCTCTGCTGCTCTCGCCAAATTTTTATAGAGTAAAAAATGTAATTTTAACCGTTTACTCTAAATTACAGAAGTATATTTTAGCCAAAACTGTTGAGTTTTTGCCGTTTCGAGAGTCGGTCAAACTTAGAAAGTTTGTTTATTTCTATTTTCATAATTTGTTTTTATTCTGTATATTAACAAATAAATAAACTGTCTACTTTAAGATTTCTACCACATGTTTTCAGGCCGTGTTTATTATGAGCGCCATCAACTACTCTGAGTTGACCTATGACCGCCCCGCTGGCAAGTACATATACCCAGACTGGGCCGTCGGTATCGGATGGGCCTTGGCTTGTTGCTCAGCGATATGGATCCCTCTGGTGGCCGTTTACAAAGCCTTCCAATATGCAAACTGCAGAAGGGTACGTCAAAACGCACTGATACTGATATCGAATTTTTTCACTGAAGGAACAGTCAAAATAATTAATATTTGGCATTGCTTCCCTTATTAAACAATCACCTTTATTTTAAGCCACACGCTCTGTTCCTGTTAATGTTATTAAATTAAATTAAATATTATTATTATTATTATTATTATTGTTTCTACCCCTAGGCCTGTCGCCGTCTTATAGAACCCGAGGACCTCAAAGAGCACCAGTTACGGCCCCAAGACAAAAGAGATGACATGCAGGACTTTGAGAATCGTGCTTACGAGCCAGATTCTTTTAACAAATTATAGGCCAAGATATTCCATATATATATAGACTTAACTATGTTGTCATTTAGGTTCTTTGTTTTGTTTTCTATTAGTTAATAATAATAATAATAATAATAATAATAATAATAATAATAATAATTTATTAAGCCAATAAAATACAAATGTATAAAATCGGGAATCTTTTGCCATGTAGTAGCGCCATTGAAATATAAAAAAATGAAAATTAAAATTACATGTTAGAGTTAAAAATAGTTACTGCCGAAGGATAAAAGCTATTTAAAAATCGCTTACTACCCTTAAAAGCTAAGAGTCTCGAATTGCTAGGTAAAAATTTAAAAAGGGTATGGGCTGGATGGGAACTGTCTGTCATTATTGATAATGTTTTCTTTTTAGTCCTGTCTAGATATATAGTATGGACGGGAGTTAGATCTGTTCCAATTACAATCCCTGCAGTTTCGACGATCTTTTCGACGATAATTTGTACAGCACAAAATTATATGTATACCATGTATATAGGTAGTGGTTTCTGTCATAGGTAGGTTGGTAGGTATACCGTATTGATAATGGCAGACTGCTGTCATATCCAGATTTTCAGCCATATAAAGTTCTGGCGCACATTGTATGCCTATCAGTTTGGAGCTCGAGCAGTTAAATTGGGAGCCATGAAGCATTTAGTAGAACTTGGAAGCGAATGTGTACATATACTTTTCTAGTACTTTTATACATCATTGATTTATACTATCATAGTCAAATTATGAAATATCATAGTCAATGATTTTTATGCATTCACTATATGAATAGGATGTCATTGAAAACATTCCAAAAAGTAGATTAATAGTTTGCTATACGTGTTTTAAGATGTCCCAAAGTCAGGGACAGGTCAAGCAGTTATATGTGAATAGGGGAATTTTTTTTCTTTAGGACAACTGGATTTGGCGCGAAAATCCTGCAAAGGTCACCTGAAACATTAAAGACAATTAAGCACCACAAAGAAATACGTGTATATGCTCTTTTATTAATATTTTTATATCAGTGAATTAATCTATTTGTAATTGTGATATAAATGGTCTTTCATAAGCATCTTCTTTTCAGAAATACTACTTATAACCAAACCAACGATAAGATTACTTCATTTTATGCTCATTGATATATTTGATGTTGGTAAATGTCAAAATCACACAAATTAAGGAACTTTTGGTCAAAACCAGAGTGCCAGTGTTATCAGTGCGTCCACCCATTGCTGGTCTTGTGTTTTATATAACGGTCCGTGTCACAGTCTTTCAGATTGTATGAGAAAATGATCAAGTATTTGAGCAAAATTTGGGAAATATACCTTTAACTATTTTGTCGTTTAAAAGGAAAATGTATTTTTGGTGTTCAAACACAAGAGAATCGAGTGAATATAAAGGAAGCAAGATACCTTCAGATGCTGGGTTCTACACTGTACCACATATCGTACCATGTTATTGTACCACACAGGTCGGTGAATCTAAATCTTGTCATCTTTTTATTTTGCAATACGCGAGGCCAGTGAATGTTGTAGTGAATATGGCTGTGCTCAATTAAAAAGGAAGAAATAAAAACTAAAACTATTAAAACTAAGGTGTCAGCGTCTATATTATTTCACTGCCGGGTTTTAACAATAATAATAATAACAATAATAATAATAATAACTGCCATGATATTAAAGTGTAACAAAAAATAAAGGCTTTTTATGGATGCCAATGACATATACGTGATCGTCGGATGATGACGATGGTGTGACGGGGGTTGTTACAGGTATAAGACGACTCTCAAAACGACACAAACCCTCACAAAAAAGCAGAGTAGAGGCAAGTACATGAGATTGCGCACCATGTTCTGAATAGCAGCATATCATCCTCAAGTCAAATTGGAATAAAATACACACAAATATAACTGAACACGCACCTTTGGAGGGCGTTTTTCGCGCCGAGCGGCACATTTCACGCTACAGTAGTTCACCACAAGTTGGCTGCTGAATTATTTATTATCACGTCGAGTGCGGAGGACGTGGGGGGGGGGGGGGTAGGAGGGGAGACGTTTAGGAGACTCACTTGCGTAATATTACCCAGGCTACTTCTCAAAGTGGACCGGTCCAGTTTCAATGTACCTCTGTCTCGATGTGAATATAGCCTTGCAGCAATTCCACTCTATCTGTCTGAAAAAGTGAGTCTTGTAAAGTCTTGAAACAAAGGGTGACTTGGCTGTTTTACTTATCTTATTTCAATCTTTTTAATGAAAACCCAACGCGTAAAACGATGTTAAAAGATCTATACTTGTATCGTTTGGGGGGAAATCCAAATGAACACGATTACTCAAACGAGAAATTACATGTATGTAAAGCCAGGTGTGACAAGAATGGTACCAAGTCCAAGGAATGGAAACCCGGGGTTCCTTATGTTTAGTACAGGTTAGGGTTAGTATTTTGGGTTAGAATATTGGTTGACTATCACCTGTACAAAATACTGCTGGGAACCGTACTACGATTCTAGCGGACTGCCAAGCCTGTCACACTCTCACACCGGCACAGTATGATACCGTCAATTTTCCTGAAAGAAACGCCCTCCTCATTTCTACCTGTTGTCAAATATTACACAAGCCAACTTAATATGCAGCGCACGGCTCTTTCCTTGCTATCATCAAATACATCTTCCTTTTACAAGCTTTGGTATTCTGGTAGAAAGATCTCTCTGCATTGCATCAGTTGAGCTGGCCCACGCCGTCGCAATAATAGCCCGTGGAGATTCTCAACCTAGAGAGCCCGTGCACAGTATAGTCAAAACTTGATTTCAATACAAGTAAATGGGTGGGGCGCTGTGCTGCCGTTAATTTTAACATACCCGTATCTTACTGCATTATCATACAATTTGCCAGGACGCCTGACATTTCAAATTTATAATTTTGAGCCGGTGTTGATTCGGGTGGGTTGTTGCCATTTACAACGAAAAATTAAAAAACAACGACTTGGCGTCCCCGTGCCTCCCCCTCCCCTCCTGTCTCCATGACTGACACGGTGGAGAAAAGGAACCTGCCAAACCCATAAGCCCCCCTCTACCCTCTACCAGAGCCACAGATTGATTTTTCACTAGATATCCACATTTATGTCTCTAGCTAATTCATGGCACATTTCTCGCGTTGGAAAAAAATGCACATAATTCATCCGCCGTTCTGGTAGAGGGTCAGCCCCCCCCTCCCCCTCCCTCCCCCCCTCCCCTCCCCAGGCACGTCATGTATACACACAAGTAGGACAAATATATACCATAAACGTTGCAATATTGAAAGACTACCATAGGCACACCTGTATGACTTACGTTATGTATATTTGACAGGGGAATTTTGTAGCAAACATGAAGGCTAATGAAAAGAAACATTACGGTAACTCGTTGCTAAATAGGACATAAGTTATGTGTTATAGATTTCCCGTTATTATCATTGTATCGTATAGCCGTGGGGAGAAAGTCTGGGCGGTGGATTCATTTAACTGGTTAAACGGGTCGCTGCTGCTGACGTCTCTTATCTTTAAA